TCTGCTACTGAAGTCATTGACCTCTTTATCTCAATATCATTTTCGAATCCAAGTTTTTGATCAAATAGTTCATGCAGTGCGTGATTCTGAATTCTGTTGATAGCCATGTTAGCCAAATTTATGTCATACCGGTGTCTATTTGTATCCACAGCTTCTTTTGATGAAATAAGCTCAATCAAGACCACTCCAAAGCTGTAAACATCACTTTTATCTGTAAGCTGGTAGCATTGGTGGTACTCAGGATCAACATAGCCCGGGGTCCCTTGTGGAGCAGTTGATACATGGGTGGCATGGGTGGGGAACAATCTTGACAGACCAAAATCAGCAACTTTTACATGAAAATAATTGTCCAGGAGAATGTTGTTGGTTTTGACATCCCGGTGTATCACATCAGTTGCATGGAGGTAACTGAGAGCACTAGCCGTCTCTATGGCAATGTTCAATCGTACAGGCCAAGTAAGCGGACTAGAATTTGCCCGATTTCCATGGAGATGATCTGCCACAGTTCCATTAGGAATGTACTCATAAACAAGCAGAAGTTCTCGGCTATGTCTTGAGGTGCATCCAAATAGCATAACAAGATTTGAATGCCTTAAACGAGTTAAGATCTCAACTTCATTCCTGAATTGCTCAATGCGTCTGAGACTATTCTCGTAAAGACGCTTCACTGCAACTGCACGCCCATCTTTCAGTACACCTGAGCAACAAATTAAACAAGAATTTAGGAAAAAGAGGAATTTTGAACGTGTAGGTAAAAGAAAAAGAAAAAAAAAAAAGACCATGAAAGTTTCATCTTCCTACCATAATAGACAGTGCCAAACCCTCCATCTCCGAGTTCTCTAGAAGCGTCAAAATTGTTAGTTGCCTCCTCAAGTTCAGAGTAATTGAAGACCTGAACTCCTAAGTACATGCTCCCGTTTCCAAAGTCAGACTTCGAAGATTGATAAGAAGGGGTGCTTTGCAATAGACTTGATGAGGTAGTAGTAGGTGGACCTTTGCTTGAATCAGGTGTTGGCAGGCTTTTGCTTGTAGTTTGAGCTGCAATTTTGACTTTTCGCTTGCGAATATATAGAAGGCACAGAACCAGAATAAGAAGAGCAGCTGCTCCACCTCCTACGCCAAGGACTGAAGATCAAACAAACAATTACTCAGTTTTCTTTTTAATGAACTTCCCTGAGAAAGTTGAGCATGTATCCAACACAAGATGAAGACTACCTATCGCCAGTGTTTTTGTCTTCTTCTTCTTCTTCTTATCTGCAGCAGCCATGATATACAAAATTGTCAGTCCAGCCACTCACCTTGCTTAGTCAACATACTCTTATTCCACAGGTTAGAACTTCGTAAACAAAAAAAAAAAATATATGCAATGGTCAAGATACCCGAAAATTTATTTTATGCATCTCTCGGTTAATTTACTTAGATTATCACAGGCTACCTGTATACACAGAAATTAAACAATGAAGAACCTCATGATTGAGAAACGAAAAGAAATCAAATGGACAAAAATCACAAGAAGAAGAAACCAACTACGAAGATTCCAACGATAACAAAGTATCTTCTGGTGAGAATGCATGAAGCAAACTACACTAAACATTCATTGTGGTGACAATGATCAAATTCTGAGCCCACACAACCATCTTCAACTTGCTCTTTTTTCTCTTCCAATGCTACATGGCTAGGATTTGTTAATGGCATTTTGGTTCTAGACTATTTCCATATGATGCAAAAGAATGAAATAGTAACCATTTTGAACAGGGTAATAATGAAAAATCTACCAAGAAAATCATAAGAAAAGAATTTCTAACTTATGGAGGCACCATGATCTAATCCAGTATATAAATTTCAGAACCTATACTATGCTAATTTCTTTGACAGTTCCCATATGGCTTGAAAACTACTTGGCAAAATCTAAGTGAAGCAATCTTCAGAGTTAACCAAGCTTAAATTTTCATTCATTTACTAAAGCTGAACACCCCTAAAGAGGTACCTACCTGCAATCGAACTCGCACAAATTCGCTCCCCGCAAACGCAAAGCGGTTGACCCGAACCCGAGTCAAACCCACATGCCCCGCCCAAATCAACACAGCTCCCGCACTCATCACTGAACGGGACTCTGTAATTCACGTTAAACCCTTCCTTCAAAACCTCTTGAAGCAATGACCGATTAGCAACAAGCCTATCCACCGTTGTTTCAAGAATGGGTACTGTAACGCCGACACTACAATTTACTATTCCTAGTATAGGGTCGCTAGGAACCGGCCCAATTAGATAATATGCGTCATCGAAATCACCATCAACGTCACAGTAGAACTGATTCTCAGGCTTGTACACCGGAAGGGGAGAGCACCCGTAAAACAAAGTGACGTCCTCGTTGCCTTCAGCGAACGTGAAGAAAGTTGAATTGAGAGTTGTCTTAGTAAACTCTTGCAGGCAAGTGGTATCGTATAGGTCTAACCGAGAGAGGATCATGGAGTGACTGGTTGGGTCAAGATGGATGACCCGAAAAGTTAGTGACCCGATTTCCAACTCGGCGGAAGAATCATTGCTGCAACTCAGGCGGAATCCCGGGTATCCACAATGCGCTGGACGCGACCCGCCGGTGAAAGGGTAGGAAATATCATTAAAGTGGCCGCACGAGAAGAGCCGGTCACAGCCGGGGAAGGTGTCATTGGGGGAAAACGACGCCGTTGAGGAAACACCCAAGAGGAGGAGGAGGAAGAAGAGAGGTTGCGAGACTGAACGCATGGTGAAGGAATGAGGAGAGAAGGAGAAGAAGGAATTGATGAGAGCTGAGATGACATTTTGGCGGTAGAGGTTGTTGGTTGGAGGTGGGTTGACCGTTGACCATGGAGGCTGCCTGTATTTTTTTAAGATAATGGAAACGGAGGCTGGCGTGCTGGGGTTAACGAAGCCGACAAACAACGCCTGTGGATAAAGAAGTGGGATTTACATTTTAATTTAAATTAAGAAATAAATTGGAGGGGCTTTTTGGTAATTTCACCTTTAAAAAACATTAATTGGAAATTAATATGCTAATTAAGAGTTAGTTGGGAGTTTTGATGTATTTAGACTTTTGGGTGAGAGAGGGTCCATGAAGGTGTAATTTATAATTAATTCATTAATTTTTTTCTAATTTTAGCACTTAAAAATTATAATTCTAGAAATTATAATTTAATAATTAATATACTTATACTATATAATATAAAAAAATAAAAAATATATTCGACGCGAGGATTAAATTTTCAAAGGAAATGAATTTTTGTTGGGTCAATTATTGTCGGAGAATATGAAATAGTAAAACGCCGAGGGCGAAATGAAAACGAAGTTCGGAATTTTCAATACAATTTGATCGAAGAAAGTCAGAAAACCCTAAAAGCTTGCTAACAATATTTTAATGTCACAAGAAACACGTAATGTTTTTAATCAACTCTTGTTTTCACGACGTCTAAAACAAAACAAAAAAAAAATCAAATTGAATTGGTTCGAAATCAAACTCGATTTGAATTTTGAAACGATTTGATTTATGAATTTGAAGTAAATGGGATTTCAAGAACAAGAAAACTTGGTTTGTGGTTGAAATCTTCTCTCGGATGGGTTCAAATTTGGTGTATTTTAGAACAAGTTTGAGCTTCTTTAGACATAGAAATCTGGTTAAATTAGAACAAGGCCTGATTTGAACACAGTTAAGAACATAGAAAGCTGGTTTTAAAAAGAAACTAATCTTGGGTTTCTCTGAAGTTTCCAATCAAAATTCTAGCTTCACAAATCGTTACTTCATTTTTGCTCTGGTTTTCCTACTCTTCAAAACTTTTCTAACAGGGAGAGAAGAAGAAAGAGAAGATAGATACCTTTTGGTATACTTTCGTTTACCATTTGATCACAGATTTGATTTTCACAGAAACAAGTGGAGGTGTTATTGAATCCACAACGTCCTCCAATGGCTTCACAATGCTGGCACCAAGTATTATTTGCAGACCATGTCAGCCCAAATCCAGCCCTAAGAACATTAACCAGATTATCTGAACTTTGATTGATCAATAATGACCTATTTGCTGGAATGATCACGCTGTTTTCGCACGAACCCAGAACAGCACTTACTACATCTGGCGTGAGTCCCATCATGAAGTAACCTAATAGATCATCAGTTCCGTTTATGTCGCATCTAAATTCAAAGGGCAAGCCAACATTTGCAGCCGAAGTTGGCAGAGAGCAATTGTAATAGAGTCTGACATCTTCCTTATCTGAACTAAAACTGAAAAGGGTGGTGTTCAAAGTGGTGTTGAAAAGAAGATTTGGACAAAGATTTTCTAAATAATCTAATCTAGCAACTGTTAAGGATTGGGATTGATTATCTATGCGGATGACTTGGTAACTCAAATCCATGATTCTGATTACAAGGAGATGATCATCACTACAGCTCAGCTCGAAACCTGGGAACCCACAGTACTCCGGCCTGCTCCATCCCCAGAATGGATAACCGATGTTTTGAACGTCACCGCAACTTATTAGCCGGCTGCAATTCAAGAAGCGATCATCGGCAGCAAAGGCAGAGGCAGGGATATAGATTAGGAATACTGTTATGGTGGTCAAGAACAGAAGTTTGGTTGAAGGCAGATGAAGATTCATTTTCAGAAACAGAGAAAAACAGAGGGAGAGAGATGGAAAAAAGAGATGGTAAGGTAGAAAGATAAAAAAAAAATAAAAAGGGGGGGGAAGATGATGTTCATCATTTCTTTTTCTTTAGCAAAATTGATAAGGCATTTGACTGAGCAAAGGGTGTGGAAAAAAAATATGTTGAAAGCAAAAGCTTCTATTGGAAGTGCATGTAGACTAATACATACAAATATAGGTGACTTACAGCTGATGCAAAGTTTTTGCAACTTAGTCTAAGCTAGTTTTTCTTCGTTAGTGGTGTTTGGTAACTTGTCTTATTTTATTCCAAACTTTAAAAATATCCAAACACTATTCTATTCTTTCCCAAGAAAATTATGTAAAGAAAAAACAAGTTTTTGGAAATGGGTATTTGGTGTTTGAGTGTACAAGGATATAATCGAGAGCGAGAGATAACTCGAAGTATGACATTACTACGACTTGTTGATTTTTCGACCAAAATTAAGGTTAAAGAAACATTATTAGTCAAGTTTGTCTTCGTCAATCAAATAAATACATGTAATTATTGATGATCAAACTGGAATAAAAGATTAATGGTTAGTTTACTTGTTTCATAAGGGGAGACTTTTCTGTTAGAGAAAAGGCCTGTCAATTTTCAATCAATTTATTAGTTTCTGTATGACAAGGATGAGTAGGAAAGCAGCTCGAATCGAATCAGCAGCAGCCGCCTCGAGTCGATTTTGTCTGGTAAATAATTTTGAGATCTTGAAGTTTAAGAAGTGTGCTAAATTGGAACTTCAAGATTTAGTGTTAAGAGAGAAAGGGGTTCAGCAGTTGTATAAATCTGTAAAGATGTTTGCACAGTGATGTAATTTGGACCAGATTAGGCAAAACCCAGCTCAAGAAAACTCAACAACTCTATCTGACTCTCAAGACCAGTAATCTATATACATATAAATACATACATACATACATATATATATATATATATACTAAAAGAATTTTCTACAAAAAGAAAATTCAAATGAACAGAACTGGTTGGGCTACTTACTCAATCCTCCTCTGTCTAGTTTCAACTGTTTTAGGTGAGTGGTTTGGTTTGATTTGAGGGAGATAGAAGTTGGGTATATGTCCCAGAATTTTCACTGTAATCTTCCTGAGATCTAATGCATTAATAACCAAACTAAAAACCTATTTTAATGAACCAAATCTAAGCTAAACCTAAACTGTAAATCATAATCTTTTGGCAATTTAAGTAGTCTCTGTTCTCAACCCTGAAAATACCCAGAAAGAAATTATAATCATCTGAAACAAACAGAACTTATATATATATATTTATACCTGAGCTGGGCAAAAGAAATGCAGGGATCAGAGAAGTACATGTTTTGGAGGAGAGATCACAGAAGCAAGCTTCTTTTCCATAAGGTAACCCACATACCCCATTACCTTCCCTGCATCTCTCGCAAGCTTCTGTATGAATCATCACCTTAACCTCAATTTCTTCCCCAAGAGCTTCTTTCAATTTATCAACCTCCACGTATGGAGAAAAAAGCCTCGCAGGAATTCTAACTGTAACTCTTTCCTTACATTTCTTACTATCGTCATCGTCTTCCTCATCATCGTCCTCTGGTCTTCTGTAATAATAATTACACCCAGACGTGCTTCCGCAAGCAGGAAACATCACAATGCTGGACTGGTCATCGGGATAACTCTGACAGCCGTAGTGAATCGTGAGATTTCTATAAGCATAAACGTAACTAAAGAGCGAACCCTGACCTATTATGAAGGTGCTCAACCTAGGTGCGCAGAGATCACCAGTGAAGTCCTTTCTTGCAATTTTGAGAAGTAGAGAACTCTCATTGATATCCAAAACCTTGAAGTTCACCCCTTGGATTCGTAACACAGTCGTGTTTGTTCCCTCCTGGCATTCAAGCTCTAATTGAGGATGGCCACAGTAATCCTCCCTTTTGTTTCCCCAGAAAGGGTATCCAACAGTGACGTTTCCACATTGGTAAAGATTATAACGACAGGTTCTGTATAATTCAGGGTTGCCTGCAGATAAATGAATCTGGGAAGAAACCCAGAGAGGGAGAAAGAGAAGAAAAGAAAATGGCGATGCAGAGAACACAAACTTGGAATCCATCTCCGGGAAAGAGGTAGTACACCGTTGAGAGCTTTGATGAGAGAGATCATGGGAATAAATAGCAGGAAGATCCACATAAACGTATTATATTGAGTAGATGGATTCTTGGTGATTCGTGGAAACTGATGGATGTTGAAAGAGAAAGACTTTGAAATACTGAACCTGTAGCTGACTTGAATGACTCGTCATTTTTACAAAGACCAGTAAACAGTATTGTGCGTAAGACATGAAATTACACAGGGCTTAACGCTGTAAAAATATAAAGTTCTATTTATATTACGTTAATTTTTAATTTTAAAATTTTATAAAATATTTAAATAACTTTAATTAAAAAATATTAAATACTAATTAAAATTAAAATACTATTTAAAATATAGTACTTAATAATATATTTGTATAATTTAATTAAATGCGGATAAAATTAAAAATTTGTTAATTATATATATATATATGGTAGGGCAAAATCAAGAAAGGTGTAGAGTATCAAAATTATTAAATTCATATAAGTTTTATACTATTCTCTATTTTATAATTTTTTTTTATTTAAATATATCTCGTGTCTTATTAATTATAAATTTTTATTTATCAAAATAACGTATTAGAAAATCGTCCACTTTAACGTATATTTCTACTTTAGTCGTCAGTGTATTAATAGCATTACAGTGATTTAGTTAGATTTTGTTTTGGCAAACATAATAAAAAGAACGTGTGTAATAATTAAATTTTTTTAATTGAGTAATTAAAAAAAAAATTCGATTTAAATTTTTTATTATAAGAAAAATATATGTATATGTTAATGGTTAACGAGGGCTCGTGACATGAGAATTTGATTATTAGAAAATAGATTATTATTTTTTTTGAATTTTAACGTTTTGAAAATTAAATATTAAAATTTAAAAATAATAATAAAAAATTAAAAAAAATAGATTTAAACCTAAATTTTAAATTCGTCGTGAACTAATTCAGATCAATGTTTACTTTAATATGATTCAAAATTAAACAATATAAATTCAGTATCTTTATAAAGAAGAGAATTGTTATGCTGATTTCTTGGCCCACTATGTTTTTTCGTACCCTCGTGATTTCTATTTCCATCGTCAGTTTTCTACTGTTCTCGTTCAAATCACTAAATACGATATAATCGAGGTTCGTCTTGGTCTAATACGTATGATGATTAAATTTTATTATCGTATTTTTTATTAAAAAATAATAATAATATTTTTATCAAACATGCAATATCGGATTAAAACCGAGGATCGATCAAAATTTTTGACGTGAAAATCGTGGGGTAGAAAATATGAGAAAAAATGTGGTAAATTTGCGTGGTGCGTACGGGTCGCCTCATAAGTCTGGTTTGTTGACTTGGTCAATTTGGAAGGTCATGGAATTTGGAAATATCATGGTGTGAAATCAGACACAAATCTTGAAGATAAATTGCAGTCATGTAGACCAAGATTTTTTTTAATAGAATTATGGATGTTTGGTTATAATATAAAAATATTCCGTAAATTTAGTGAGTATATATATATATATATATGGATTTTACGAATTAATTTTACATCTTTTTTATATCGACAACCAAACACATCCTAAATATATTTCTATTATTGTAACCAAACAACATCGTATTCTTTTCTATTCTCTGCGTTTATTTTGTTGTGATTGTATGGAGTTTAGGGATTAATTTCGAGAACATCTTTTTTATATCGACAACCAAATACACCATAAATATATTTCTATCCTTATAATCAAACAACATCTTATTCTTTTCCACTTTATGCGTTTACTATGTTGTGATTCTATGGAGTTCAGGGATTAATTTCGAAAATATTTTTTTTATATTGACAACCAAACACACCATAAATACATTTTTATCTTTATAACCAAACAACATCGTATTCTTTTTTACTTTCTGTGTTTACTTTGTTGTGATTATTGAAGTTCGGGGATTAATTTCGAGAACATCTTTTTTATATCGATAACCAAACACACCTTAAATACATTTCTATCCTTTAACCAAATAACATCGTATTCTTTTTCACTTTTTGCGTTTAATTTATTGTGATTGTATGGAGTTCAGAGATTAATTTCGAGAACATCTTTTTTATATCGACAATCAAATACAATAACCAAACAACATCGTATTCTTTTCCATTTTCTGCGTTTACTTTGTTGTGATTGTAGCGAACTTCATGGATTAATTTGGCGAAACATCTTTTTTATATCGACAACCAAACACACTTTAAATATATTTCTATCCTTATAACCAAACAACATCGTATTCTTTTTCACTTCCTGTGTTTACTTTGTTGTGATTGTAGCGAATTTTATGGATTAATTTCGAGAACATCTTTTTTATGTCGACAACCAAACACACCCTAAATACATTTCTATCCTTATAACCAAACAACATCGTATTCTTTTTCACTTTGTGCGGTTACTTAGTCGTGATTCTATGGAGTTCAGGGATTAATTTAGCAAAACATATTTTATATATGGACACCCAAATACACCATAAATACATTTCTATCCTTATAACCAAACAACATCGTATTCTCATTCACTTTCTACGTTTATTTTGTTGTGATTGTATGGAGTTCAGAGATTAATTTGGCGAAACATCTTTTTTATATCGACAAGTAAACACAACCTAAATACATTTCTATCATTATAACCAAATAAAATCGTATTCTTTTTCACTTTCTGCGTTTACTTTGTCGTGATTGTATGGAGTTCAAAAATTAATTTCAAGAACATCTTTTTTATTTCGACAACCAAACACACCCTAAATACATTTCTATCTTTATAACCAAACAAGATCGTCTTCTTATTTCCCTATACCCCCTGGATCATGGCCAAACTTAACCATTGTTTTGAGATGAAATTTTGCATTCAAGTAAAATATAAACTTTTTTCAAATGGTACAGATTTCTTCATTCATTCTGAACTTAACATCTGGGTATTCTACCAAAAAAAAAATGGTTTCTTGATTTTCAAATCTCACAGTAACTTCTTCCATGCATCGGGGTATGAATTCGAGTAACAGATATTCTTCGAATACAAATAGACCCACGAGGGCCGAGTTCTCAGAAATCACCTGACAGGTCCAGATTGGAAATGCCCTGTTGAATCTGTCTTGCTGACTCTCTTTCTTTTCTCCTATGTTCTCCCTTTCTGCTCCTTCTCCCTCTGGGTTTTCCTTTTTTTGGTTCTCCTCTGCCCAGGAAAATCCCCTCTCCGATAATGCTCACCCACAAGGGCTAAGTTCTCAGAGATTACCTAAGAGGTCCAGATTGGAAATGCCCTGTTGAATTTGTCTTGCTAACTCTCTCTCTTTTCCCCTCTGTTCTCCCTTTCTTCTCCTCTCTCTCTCTGGGTTTTCCCTCTTTGTTCTCCTCTCCCATAAAGCTCCCTGGCTTTGGATTTTTATCCCTAAACCGAGGACCTCGTTCGTTCTCTCTCTTCCTCGAGTTAACGCCCTCCCGTGCTCTCTTTTTTAGTCTACATTTTCCTCTTCCATGGTTCTTATGAATTGAGGCAACTGGTTCTCTTTTCCTTTCAATCTTCGACTTCTCCTTTAGCTGTGTTGAACATCCTCTCTCTTCTGCTCTGTCGCGACTTCTTCTCGAGCCAAACCCCCATCTACGCATTCTCTTTTTAATCTTCCATTTTCAGGTGAAGTAAAGCATCTCCTCTGTACCTGTAACCCAAAGAAAGAGGAGGAGAAAGAGAAACTCAAGTGAAACGGTGTCGTTTTGGGCTTGTCTAATGGGTGTTTGAATTTTACTTTGGGCCAAACAGATTAAAAGGGCTTTGGTAATTTGGTTTTGGATTTTAAATTAGATTGGGATTAGGTTAAATTAGAGAATTTATTTTTAGAGATAAAATATAAGAAGATGTAAAAATATATAATTTAATGGAGATAAAAAAAAAGATACTAATAAAAATAGAAAGATTAAGAGCAAAGAAAAATAATTCACCAAAGATAAAAAGGGAAATTCACAAAGTTAAGAGAGCGAAAACCATGAACGAGGGATTATATAGATTACAAATTTGGCATTATTATTAATTACGTTAATTACTTTCCTAATTTCTTTAGAAATAACATTATTATCGATCGTTATACTTGTGAAGTTAAGTATGTAAATATTTTTATATTTTTTAATTAATAATAAGTACGTGGAATGTAATTATGACGTATATCACAAAAATGTATTGCAAATCATATTAAGCCTATATTATATCATATATGGATTACAATCAACATTTATTTCAAGTAGAATAATTATAAATGATGTCTTTATTACTTTTGAAATTTTTTACCATTTAAGAAAAGACCGATCTCGTAGATATCTTTTTACTCTAAAATTAGATATTAGTAAAACATGTGACATGGCGTCACGATCCTTTTTAGAAGATGTAACGAAGAAGTTGAGTTTTGACCCATGTGTTATTGATTGGATAATGACTTATCTAACCTTGGTTACTTATTATATTCTTATTAACGAGCAACATATACATGTGGTCTATCCAAAGAGGAGATTCTGGTAATGAAACGTTCTTTCGCCTTGCCTGTTTATTTTATATGTAAAAGTATTCTCGATTTTGTTAAGAATAATAGAAGATGAGGGTAAGGTACAGAAAGTTAGAGATTTCTTCAATATGAAGTATCGTCCTCGATTTAATTATCCATAAGGGAGTTTGTTAACTTGGAGAGAATTATTAAAGGGTGGGGAATAGACAAAGAGTGAGTATATAGAGGGTAAGAGGATACTAGTTGTGATAACGAGAAAAGTATTGATTCATTAAACCACTTAATATAAATATTGAAAGGGTAGTTGATCTTCTCGTACATGGTTTACCAATGTGGAACATTGCTTGGTAAACCCAATTATTTATATATTCTCAAGTTATCGTTTATTATCGGTAAATTCACTGATCCTGTTAAAAACTGAGATATATA